ATCACCTCGATCGCGTTCTTCGATTTCTAGTGGATTGTTTATTCATCCCAATGAAGATCTTCCCAAAATATTGATGGATAATTATTGGCAACCATTTAGACTGGCTTGCAGTGTTTCGATGCCTGTACAAGTTAGAGTCGTAGCATTAGATTCTTTGCAGAAATTGATTGCACATGGATTATTAGAAGGTTCTAATCCAATAGCGCCTCCAAAAAATGCTCAAATAAAAAAAGATCGTCGTTCTGGTGAGAACACCGATAATAAACAATCTAGGTTTAGTGAGACAAATGATTTGAATTCACTTGACATCACCTCATTTGAAAATGAGGCTCCCGCTGTTGAAGGGATTCCCAATAGTACGCCAAGCAACTTTCCAAATCCTGCACGTCTTATTGACGATGTTGTTCATACCATCTGTGTAGGATTTGTGGGACCTCATTTAGATCAAACTGTTCAATTACAAATATTAAAAGTTTTACTCACGGTAGTCACTTCTGAAACCTGTCAAGTGCATGGAATCAGTTTACTGAAAGTTATTCAGACCACCTGTAATATCTATTGTTTTTCTAAAAATCCAATTCATCAAGCAACTGCTAAAGGAGAATTAACGCAAATGGCAAATTTAATTGTGTCAAGATGCGAAGATTACGCAGTTGATATGACGAATTATGAAAATCACAAAAAAGAGGAAATTAATCAATCAATTGAAAACAGTAAAGTTGAAACTAAGCAATTGAATGGATTTAAAAATGTGAAGGATAACGATGGCATACAAGCGGAGAACTCCCTAAACCCTAATATCGGTAACGGCATTACCGAATGGGAAGGAACAATTGGTTCTCCTTCCACCACTAGCGAAGAATCTCAGGAATTATATGTACACGAGCCCTCAGGCATAATGGATTCAAACTCCGATAGCGGTCATGGTCCAAACATAATTACTAAGACTAATGAATCTCATATCGTTACTCCCACAGATGATAAATTTGACGAGAAAAATATCCAGAACAATCAATCAGAAAAATTAACGATTTCTTCTGATAAAAAAATTAAACTTTTGACGTTAAGTCAAGATATAGAGCAAGTACAAAACTCAAAGATTTCTTCTGATTCTAAGGACTCTAACGCTGAGAAACCAGATAATTTGACTCGAAAAGAGTCTATACAAAAATCTTTGTTAACACTTAAAACTGATCTCTCAATAAAAATACCGCCTGTTTCCTCAGAATCTAAGAAAAATATAAAAACTCCAAATCCAGCTATTCCAACACGAAGTCACTTTAATGTTCTACGAAAGGATTTGTACCTAACGTTTCGACTATTCTGTCGGTTATCTATGCGTATAGAAACAAATTCATATAATGAAGAAATCAGTATTCGTGGTCGATCACTTGTGCTGGAATTAATTTTATCAATGTTGGATAATTCAGGGCCAGTATTCCGTGGGGAACAAGTTTATATTGATTTGATTCGTCAGTCATTGTGTGTTTCTTTGTCACAGAACGGTGTTTCATCAAATGAACAATTGTTTGAACTGTCACTCTCAATCTTTCTTTTGCTACTTCGCTATTACGCTGCACCATTAAAAGCAGAATTAGAAGTTCTTTTCAGCGAGATTTACCTGAGGTTTTTAGATATGTCGAATGCATCATATAAACAAAAACAGATGGTATTACAAGGTTTAATGAAACTCTGCGCTAATCCTCAAACACTTGTAGATCTTTATTTGAACTATGATTGTGATATTTCGATGGCAAGTTTATTTGAACGTATTGTGCACGCGCTTTCAAGGGTGGCGCAAGGACGTTCTAAAAATGCAAGTGGATCCGCAATGGGAAGTCTGATCGGTGCGCATGCATCAGGATTATTATTGGAGAATCGTGCGGATTTAGCCGCATTGCACGAAAAAAAACTAAAGGTGAGAGGTTTAAAATGTCTAGTGACCATCATCAAATCATTAGTGGAATGGTGTAAGGACCTTGACGGTAATAATTCATCAGGTGATCAAGAACCACAAGTTCAACAGAATCGTGAAAAATTACCAGAAATAATTGAGGACAAGACCCCTGTTATATTTTCAAAACACCCACTACTTAATGTATCTATGAAAAGCTTCACACTACTACATGCGAATACCAGTAACGTAAGTGTGGGTACTAATGATTCGGATGATCACCCAGCTCAATATCAAGAGATTATGACACGTAAACAGACCTTACAAGCTGGTATTCGACTCTTTAATACCAAACCACAAAAAGGTCTTCAATTTCTAATTGAGAATAACTTTTGCAAAAAAGACACGGATGATGTCGTATCTTTTCTCATGACAACACCCGGATTGAATAAAGCCGCTATTGGTGAATATTTAGGCGAAAGTGATGCTGAAGCTATCAAAGTTATGCACACGTTTGTGGATCGTATGGATTTTACTGGACTTGGCTTTGTGGATGCGTTGCGCTCTTTCTTGCAAACATTTCGATTACCTGGTGAATCCCAAAAAATTTCTAGAATTATGGAAAAATTTGCAGATCGATATTGCGAAACAAATCCAGACATATTTGCAAATGCCGATACTGCTTATACCCTTGCATATTCGGTCATTATGCTGAATACTGACCAACATTCGGCTCAGGTCAAACGTCGAATGGATAAATCGGAATTCATAAAAAATAATCGAGGCATTAATAACAACAATGATTTACCACAAGAGTTTCTTGGCGCGATATTTGATAACATTGCGAAGAACGAGATTGTGTTGGAAGATGAACAAATTTCAGAGGTGGCCAAAACTGCTATCAATATCGCTAACGAACGTGAACGACAGGAATTGTATGATCGAGAAATTTCTCAAATGCAAAAGAAAAGTCATGCGTTACTGAGCAATCGCCAAACTCAAAAGAACACCATTTGGCGCAGTGGCTCACACTTTGATCACGTGAAACCAATGTTTGCAGTTGCTTGCTGGCCTGTGATGGCAACTTTAAGTTTGGTTTTTGAAGAATCCGAGAATTTGTCAAATACTTCTAACAAAGTCAATGAATTCGCACAAGCTAATTCCGAAGCTGTCGAAATTTGTTTAGACGGATTTATGGGTGCAATCCGCATTAGCAGTGTTTTCCGGATGGATGTTGAAAGAGACGCGTTTGTCTCGTCATTGGCAAAATTGACCGGCTTAAATCATGTGGATGAAATGCGGTCTAAAAATGTGGCCGCCATTCGTACTTTATTATCAGCAGCTCATTCTTATGGTGAAGGTTTGCAAAAATCATGGTTTATTGTACTGAAAACGATATCCACCATGGAACGTTACCAATTAATTGATAGTACAACCAGTTCAGTAAGTTATTATTCGGATGGTCATTATAATGGATTAGATTATTCAACAAATCGAAATAATTCCACGACATCAAATGGAACATCTGTTGATCATAACACTCCAACAACCGTTTCCGTGCCTCAGCTACCACGTCCCAGCATCAATACAAGCCGTCGAGGATCTCTTGGTGGATTAATGCGAGAATTTCAATCTCAGAGTACCATTGTCGCCATCGATCGGATTTTCGCCAACAGTGTAAATTTGAGCAGCGATGCCATTGTACATTTTCTTAACGCTCTTTGTGCAGTATCCTTGGAGGAAGTGGATTCCTCGGTCACAAATCCACGAATGTACAGCCTACAGCGAATTGTAGAAATTGGTGGGTAAATTTCAAAACCATGTGACCAGATTTTTTTTATTGGGATGGTTGGAATTAAATCAATCTAACCATATAGGATGAATATTATCCATCATTTTATCATTCCATTTGAAATTGTTTTTCTGGCAATCAATTCACAGCTTATTATAATATGTCACGTATTCGATTCGAATGGACGCAAATATGGAAAATACTTCAACCACACTTTAACACGGTCGGTTGCCATCCGAATCAAATTGTTGCCACCTTTGCTATTGACTCGCTAAGACAATTAGGCATGAAATTTTTGGAAAGGGATGAGCTTGCACATTATAATGCTCAATGCGAATTCATTAAACCTTTTGAACACATAATAAAAAATACACCATCCGGAGGTATTCATGATCTCATCATTTCATCGCTAATCCAAATGATATCTGCACGCGCAAATAATATTAAATCGGGCTGGAAGAGTATTTTTATTGTATTCGGTCGTGCTGCTTCCGATGAAAATCCACATCTGGTTGATAATGCATTTAACGTCATCAGGTTGGTCTATCGACAACATATGGACTTGATTGGTCCAGCTTTCGGAGAATATGTAAATTGCTTAGTAGAGTTTGCATTTAACGCTCAGGAAGAAAGCATTATCAACGAATCAATAAGGATGATGCAAGGCTGCTTAAAGGCGCTTGTCAAAGACCTCGAAGATCCTGAAAAATCAGAAAAAGATACAAATTTGCCGGTCGTTCCTTTGAACAAGAGAAAATACCAGCACATTGAAGAAGAGCAATTCTTCTTGAAATGGTTTCCTGTTATCTCAGGTTTATCGCGTCTGGTCATTGATTATCCATCGTTGGCGACGCGAAATAAAGCATTAGACACACTATTCGACATTTTAAAATCCAATGGATACCTTTTTGAGACAAGTTATTGGAATAAAATTCTACGAAACGCATTGCTTCCTATCTTTGAGGATTTGAAAGAAACAGTGCCATCACAATTGCAACAAACTGATGTTGAATCAAAAAAACGTGAGACAACACATGAAATCTGGATCCAAACTACTCGGCTAATGGCAGAAATTTACGCTCGTTTCCAAGAAACTTTTACATTTGATACTGAATACATAGTTGAACTTTTGTCATTATTAATAGCCATGCTTAAACGGAAGCATGAAAAACTGGGACAAACAGCAATACGTTGTTTTCATAATATCATTGTTAGAAATGGGGCAAGATTTGATGCAAAACATTGGGAAATTATCACCACTACATTAGAAGATATTTTCAAGCAAACGACACCAAATGAATTCTTTGAAGTTGAACTCATAAACTCGATTGAAAACAACGATCGTAAGAACGAAGGACTTATCATTAAAGGAGCCATAGGTGGGGGTGCACTAGTGCCATCAAATACATTTGGTGATGTCGATAAACCAAAAGATTTAATATTGTCTACAAGTCAACAAGATAAGCAAAGTAATCTGAGTAAGCCTCCCATTCCAAAAGTAAATGATGATGTATTATATGCACTAAATAAATGTTCGGCACAACTGGTTCTCATTCAATCAGTTAAAGAGCTTGTACTGAGTCATGCTGCAACACCGTGGTCTAACGAGAATGTGCATTTTTTGACACAAATGCCTGCAGAATGTCGTAATCGATGGCTAAGATGTCTTTACAACTCTTATAAATTTGCTCACGATTTTAATGCTCGGCATGATCTTCGACATGCACTTTGGAAGTCTGGATACGTGGAAAAAATGCCAAACCTTGCAATGCAAGAAACTTTATCCTTGTCAGTTTTTCTTCAAATACTATTTGATCTGTATAGGACAATCGGAGACGATGATCCTGAATTATTACCACCATTGGTAGAGAAGACTTTAGGCGTGCTAGAAAAATTCATTTCTATCATGACTGATCCTAGCGTACACAATCAACCTCGTGAGCTTGCGACCTGGTCGCCATTGGTAGTCACTCTCTTCAAAGAATTGTGTGTTACTAGTTGGGATGTAAGTCGAGAGGATGACATTGATTCAGAAGGCGACGTAAACGAACCAAAAGAGGAAAAAAAGGAGGATCAAAGTGTTATAAAAACACCTCGATTATTAAAGCTACGGAAACGTATACCCGATTTCTATAAGTTAACAATCAAAATGATTGGAATAGATAGAGTCGATGTGCGTGTGGCGATGCAAGAATTTCTTGAAAAAGTCGGCAATGAGTTTTTGAGTGATATTTGAAAAAATAATATTTTTTATTTCACCACTTAATAATATAATTTAATTTAGATAGAAACATAAAGTCTAATTTAAACTATGTGGTTTAAATAATTTTTCAATCTACAGAATTTTTACTATCTATAGAAGTTTCAAATAATTAAATAGATTAATAAATTAGCGAACACACTGTACATTTGGACCTTTTTAATATAATAAAAAATCAGAGAATACACATACATAGACATTATTAATGTTGTAATTAAGAAACTATTATGAATAAAAATATAATAGATTAAAATAAAATTGTCATATCGATCAATTTTGTGATTATTCTGTTTCAAAAGAATCAATATAATTTTATTACTTTTTTTGCATTAAATATTAAACTAAGAAATATAATAAATATTATAATACAAGAATCCGTTATAAGAAAAGGAATAATCGGCTAGATCAAGTACATTATTTTTATTATTTTATTCTACTTATTTAATAATAAATAAAGCAATTTTTGAAAAATAAAACTTATTTTTGATATTAATAATAAAATTATCTAATTTAAATTGTTATTATTTATTAAAAATCAATTTATAGAAATCTAAGAATTTAATTTATTATATTGTTATAATATAGATTTTTATATATAATTTATTATGGATCAGTGCAAAAAGATTTGTACATCAATATAAAATTAAATAATTACTTCTAATAAAAATCATTCAAATTTTAACTAATCTTTATAATTTTTTATATTAA